TAAGGGTTAAGGCTGGCCGAAATTTTCAAGAGAGAAAGGAAGGAAAAATTTTTCTCCAAAAATTCCACATCGTGCATGTGATGGTGTTTGTGGAAATTCGAGTGTTTATTGTAATTCGTTTTGTCTCATGTGTGTCCACACACACGTCTTTGTGGATTCTAGGAATTGATGTGGAAGACATTGGTTTTCTAAACACAAAGATTGGAGCAAGGACTGTTCGTGGTCAAAGAACTCAAGTTATCATCCGAGTCGGCTTCCAGGTATTTTTCCTGATTGAGTTCTTGATATATATAAGTTAATGAGATTAATTTATTCGTGCATAAATTAATATAATCTATAGAGTATCTCAAAAGTTTTATGAAAATTTTTGTTATACACGATCCGCCTCTTCTCCGCACCACCGCGCTTCCGCAGCCGGATTCGATCCGGAGACCAACAAGGTGGAGTTCTCAACTCATATCCTCCTCCTGCAAGAACTCTCGTCGTCTTAAGGGCATTTCACGTATAACCAATTCCTCAACGTCAGTGACCAATTCTCGGTTGAGAACGTCTCGGCACTTGGCAGTCAAAGAAGTGGTCAATTGCTCGACCGTGGTGCAACCAAAATTTGTTTTGATTTCAAACTAATTAAACTTTATTGACTCATCAATAACTTATTAAATAGTCAAATGACTAATACTGTATAATCACGAGTTCGCGTGTCGTGAGAGTTCATTAACACGTTAGTGGACCCTACAATAGTGAAAAGTCATCTTTTATTAGAAAATCACTGTCTGCGTTATATGAATAATATATTTACAGGTATATATTTGACAATATTGTTGTATTTATTGGACTGAGTAGTCTCTCTTGCTCTGCATAATTTATATATAATTTGACCTTGTCAAACACAACCGAGAGCCCAAAAGCCACCGGTATAGCGTCGTCGACTGAAACGACGCAAAAAATCCAGACAAGTGTGGTCAAGAGTCAAGATCTTGCAAATTTGATTATCAACGTCCTCAACGCTAAGACCAGACTCATCCAATACAAAGATCAACTTGTGCTTTTGTTGCTTTCATGATTAAAATCACGTTATGCATGTGATAGGGACGCAACTATATATCAACTAGACGAGTTTGACTCGGTATTTGTGGCCCTAACACACTCTTTTAGACGCTCAAAAGCATAATCTATATATCATTATCCTAAAATAAAGATATAAAGTCCGATCACACTAGGAAAATATATATTGCAGAAATTAAAAAAAAAAAAAAAAAAAAAAAAAAAAAAAAAAAAAAAAAAAAAAACAGTAGAAACCTCAATTATGCTTGAGAAGCTAAAAAAAATGTTCGATGATATTAGGGGCCGAGAAACACGCTATTAGGCAACAAAGATTATTGCTTATTTTTCCTATGATGATAAGATTCTTTACAGTATTTTCAAGAGTAAAGGGAAAAATGGTAAGATACAATTTTTTTTTATGAGATTTTTATTACAGGATATGAAAAAAAATACTGTTATACCTATCAACCTTATTGATAGGGACGAAATTATAAAATTTATATAAATTCTATCTACTTTGCAAACGAGCTCCATGTTCCCGAGTCTTTAAATTTAAAGCCCGTTTGGTAAAGGGATTCGTTCTCTGATTCGAATCATGATTCGTGGTTCGTTACAGTATTTTTTCTCACAAAAAATACACGTAAATTAAAAATGGTTCTAATCCATAAACCAAACGGATTTTTAATTCAGGACAAATCCCATTAACAATAGTAAATAACAAACACGATGATACCGGGCACGATTTCGATACCAAAATCATCAATAATTGAGGTTCAATAATGAAACACATAAAAGATTCCTTGGACAGAAACTCTCTTTCGTATGATTAGAATTTGACAAACAAAAAATAATAATAATAAAAAAAAGGAAGGAGAGAGAGAAGTTTTACTATTAAGACATAGTACATAGGAGACTTGCAAATTGATTGGGCCAGTAATAATGGGTCCTGCCTCTCCTATTCTTGATGTACTATTGGGCCCAACCCCGGCAGCCACAAAATTATAGGCAAATCCATGATTATGATTTTTTTCTCTTCTCAATCAAAAAATTTTAAAAAGATTGGCACTTTTCTTGCCTAAAACAAAGTAGGATAATTGCTATAGCTTTACATTGACACAGCTAAAGTAGGAATAATTACATCACCGACCTTCTAGATCATAATAATTCATAAACTGTAGTCCTTTCTCTAAGGCTACTCTGAAGAAAAAAACTTTTCATAGTTTTAATAATTCATATTTTTTTTTTCATTTAGTTTTAATTAACAATATTGGAAAAGGGGAAGCCAATGAATATGTTGGGTTAGTCCTATTGGTTATTACTGATTGCTTCGTAAGGAGCAAAATTGTTACTTATAGAAAAGAACAACCTTAAAATCCTAGCAGATAGTTACATTACACATTTGAAAAGAACACAAGGAATGTACAAATTACAAATCAAACTAATTTAATATACTAACATGACAAACGTTTTGACATGGAAGATATTACTTATAGTAACAATAATACCTCTTTAATGGTGTCAAGCATGTACAGGTATGGAAGAGCTCATAGATACACAGCCTTTCAAGCGCTCAATAATGGCGTTTCGGCTGACCAGCCTCGAATGGTAAGCAAGAGGAAGACCCTCCTTGACACACTCATCATACTTCTCCAAAATAGACACAATGTCACTAAAATCCGGCCGCTTTGAGGGGTTTGCGGCCCAGCAGCGCTTTATGAGGTGCGCAAGCGCGGGCTGACAACTAGCCGGAAGTGGTGGCCGTTCATTCTGCCACATAGAAACAGAACACAACAAAATATCAATCTAATTTGTGTCCAAGTTATGTGAAGTTGAATGTCAAGTTGCATTCAGATATACAGCCAATTAGGGGTTTAAGTTTAATTTTTAAAAAGGTTCATAAACCAAATAGTGGGGTAGTACAATGAATCTAATTGGTGTCCCATTTTTTGAACAAGTATGAGATCTTAAACAAATGCTGGTGTGTAATGCTAGCTAACTGTAAAGGTTAGTTTTCATCATATTAGCCACTTGAAGCTCTCAGGCAGATAGAGGACAATGTCACAATGTGCAGTTTAACAATCCACACATGGCGTGTGGATTTTTCTGATTTCTGCTGTGTAAGAAGATCACAAGTGACACTTACATTATGAATGTGACTTTTGTACTATTGATGTCAATGAGTAAATTGCAACAGTTTTTGAAAAGAAACAAAGTATGGTACTAGGTGGGAAGGATTTAGACAAGACAAAGTTGTGTCCTACAAAACAATGCGAACTAAATTTGTACTCATATTGAAAGATACGCCGCTGATGTAAGAGATTTATGAAAAATGCTAAAGGGCATTGGTAGTGTTGGTGATACAATAATAAAAGGTGGATCTCACAGTATAAGACTAATAAATAAGGACCCACTTTTTATTAGTTGCGGTGTTAAACATCAATAGTGTCTCGAGTATTTTTCTTTGCTTTTGTGGCGTCACATGCTCTAAGAATACCATAATTATTATAAGCACAAACAACATTTTTAACACTAAATGGAAGGGATGCATTTGAAAATTAAAATAGCCATCTGACCTTCTCAGCCACAGCAAACGCAGCCTGCACAGGGGTCATTCCTTGAAAGGGAAGTAACGCCGTAGTGAGTTCCCATAACACAATTCCAAAACTATAAACATCGACTTTCCTAGTATAAGGTTTCTCCTTAATCATCTCCGGCGCCATCCAACGGTAAGTTCCCATGTTTCCTTTCGTCTCCCGGCACTGCGTTTCGAGACATGACGTACCGAAATCTGCCACCTTCACCCTCATGTCATCATTAAGGAGCAAGTTATTAGATTTTAAGTCCCTGTGGATTACACCTTGCGAGTGAAGGTACTCCATTCCTCGAGAAATATCAAGAGCTAACCTAAGAATTGTTTCTGTTGAAAGTGAGTAGGGTTCCTTCTTGTTGAGGTACATTCTCAGCGTTCCTTGTGACATGTATTCTGTGATGATACAGTACACGGGGGGCTTTTTACAAGCTGCAATAAACTGTAAAAAAACAAAAAAAAACAAACAAACAAAAAAAAAGGGAATAAAATAGAGGTAAAAAGAACTCAAATCCTTTGTCTATTTTTTTGTCCTGTTTCCAATTAAGTTTTTACTCGCCATATCTTCGGTGATTCCCTAGAAAGAGAGCAAGACGGGAAAAATACACAGAAAAATGTGTCAAAAGAAAAGGTTAATCAATCTAGCAACAAAAAAAACTCTCAACTTTGGTAAAGCATTTAATTTCAACAATATCAATATGGATAGCAAGTACAGATGTTCTCCTTTGAACATGAATCTAATATTGTATAAAACATAGCCAGAACATAATGTTTCAGAGGTACACGTAGAGAATTTAGCAAAAATTGTAGCCAATAAATGATGAAGAAACAGAATTCCACAAAACTTTATTTGCAGTTGTTTAGACTTCTTAATCTTATTTCTAGTCAAACACATGTCAGATCTCATTTTGATCATTGACTTTTTCCAAAACAAGTCTTAGAGCTATCAAGATGTCCTAAGGCCTCGTTCGTTTCGCTGATTCGAGTTTAGAATTCGAGTTTTGCTACAGTAAAAAACTCTCACAAACAATCACATCTAACTTTTTTGCTATAGTAAAAAGCTCTCACAAACAATCACATCTAACTTTTTTGCTACAATAAAAAGCTCTCACATCTCAACTTGAATCAGCGAAACGAACGAGGCCTAAATTAGTCATAATCTTTTTAAGTGGATGAGGAGGACCAACAATACCCTCGCTCATAAATTGAGTCAATAGGCTCTTTAGGCCCTTGCTTGTTTGTCCAGAAATTTTGTTTTCATTCCCTTTTATTTTATTTTTTTTTTCCCCTTCGCCCTGGACTTTGTAGGTTTGGTTTTTGTTAGTTTATTCGGGTGTCTATTTGGCAGCTCTTTTCTTATTTATTGAATGCGTTTCAACCCTCCTTAAATAAAAAAATAATAATAAAAAAAAGCTATTCCAAACTAGTCAATCAAACTGTTAAAATTTCGATCGAAAAAAATTCGGTTTCCTTCTTAATAGTCATGTCCTATAGTTTGGAGAATAAAATGGGAATAAAATTTTTGGTTGTGTAGGATCAATCCAAGTCTAGAACGGGGTTAGCAGACAAATAATGTAACTAGAGGGGTAAATCCGTCCACCAAGTCAAGATGTGATCCATCCATCCATCCAACTTAGCCTATGATTACAAAACCATAAACTTTGCTGATTATTACATAAAAGTAAAACAAGTCTTATCATAAGTGTCAATAAAAATATTTACCTGCACAATATTAGGATGAAAGAGACGTGACAGAAAGGCGACTTCAGACTTAAATTGCTGCTCAAGCAAGGTTCTGGTCTCCTCCTTCTGGTTTGGAATCCTCACCATTTTCACAGCCACGGCTCTCTGCTTGTAAATCCCTCTGTAGATCCTACTATGAGCTCCTGACGCGAACTTGTTACCAATGAACAGCTGCGAAAGATCGGCCGTCCATTCTTCCTGATCTTCCTTCGCCGGCTCCCAGGTTTCCACATTTTCCGAGTCCAATATCATCGACCACGATTCCAAGCTGTCGAATCTCTTCCTCTCCAGATTCTCCATGTCGGAATTCAACTGCGTTTTCGACGATGACGAAGAAGCCGGGACCGGTAAAGGCTTCCTCTTCGACCTTCTGATACGAAGCGCGTGGAAACACGACGACGCCATATTTGGATGTCTCGAGCCCTGTACTTAACGTGAAATGGGATGTGATCTTATTTATGTGGACAAATTTTTGTCTTTTTGTTGTCAAAACAAACGATCAAAAGGAGTTTTCCTTCTGAAAGTGTGAATTGATTTGAGGAAGTGCATGAACTGGTTCAGAAACATGGGTGGTTCCGGAGAAGAGTGGAAAAGAATTATGAGTTTTCATGAATTTGGCAAAAACATCCATTGATGTTCTCTCTCTCTCACCGAAGAAGAACAAGAAGAACCAAATAACATTTTTTTCCCATGTTGTCACGCGTGAAATCTAAGACTAACTAGCTTTTTATGTATCAAAGAAGTGACCGATTGATGATCATGAAAACAACTTCATGACGGCGACGAGGACACCAATTGATGAGATATTGATGGATCTTATTAGTCAACATGGTTTGGAGAAACGGAAACCGAGCAAAAGAAAATCCATCAAAGTGCGGGTCTTGCAGATAAAGGGGAGCAGAGGGAGGCAGATTTTTACGGCTGTTTCTAATAGGGTCAGGAGGATTAGGTTGTTTGGCAGTAGAAAGATGAATTCAAAGGCTGAGTTTTCATGGGTGCCCCGTGATTGCTCGGTTCAAAAGGTGGGAACTTTTTTCTTTATAGAGAGAGAGAGAGAAGCGTTTTTTTTTTTCTTCCCTTTTCTTCTCGTTTCTTTTTTAGTTTTTGGCCCTTGGAGTTGGCCATATCCAGCTCCTCAGATTTCTGTTTCATGTTCTTTTTGGCATCATAAATGCTAAGTGGCCACAGTGTCAAAAGGCTTCACAGATTATGCTTTGTTGCTGCCCTCGGAAAATTGGGATTATACCCCATCTTTTAACGGTAATGCCACTCTTTTTGTAAGATTATGTAGTCACATAAGGGCTTTTAGGGTTTAGTGGTGATATATACATATATATATATATATGTTTTATGCATACATCCATACAAGTGGCATGCATACGCGGGGCCATACAACTAGATGAAAAGTAGTGAATCAAAGGCCAATTTCGTGTGGACATTTGGTTCATAGATTCAGAATTATTTTCGATTTACGTGTGTTTTTTTATGAGAGAAAATACTGTAACGAACTACGAACCATTATTCAAATCATGACACGAATACACCAACCAAACACATATTGACTTAAAACTTTGCCACTTTTAAGATGTTTCTAAATTGATCTCAACAGGAAAAATAAGGAAGAATTGTGACGTTTACCAGTTACCATAACAGTTGGACACAATTTGTTTATCTTGTTCATAGTTGACCAATTTTCATGATTCCATATAAAAGTAAGCAAACAAGGACAGATCTAAATTCTCTTGTCAATTGCCTGTTACGGTTTCTCTGAAAAATCAATGGATTTAGTAAAATGTCCCGTTCGGTTCGCTAATTCAAGTTTTTAATTCGAGTTGAGATGTGATGTTGTGTGAGAGTTTTTTACTGTAGCAAAAAAATTAGATATGACTGTTTCTGAGAGTTTTTTACCGTAACAAAACTCGAATCAGCGAAAAAAATAGAGCCGTAATTGCTTCTCCCACGACATTCAAAACGGAAAAAGAAAATTGTTTTCTACAAATTGGATACAAGAAGGTTTTTTTTTTTTTTTTTTTTTTTTGGGGGGGTGAAGGTACAACAAGTACTTTCGCTAATGAAAGTCTCTACATGTACCCCACGCTTGATTAGTAGATTGTTTGAAAGTAAAGCAAGACTTTCTTTGTTTCTCTTTAATCTTCTTTTCTTAAAACAAACAGTTTCTCAAGCTTAAGACCATCCCTTTATTCCGAAACCAAGCAACATGGCATTGCCATGGAAAAAGGGGAACTCTTTAAGTGGTGGATGCTAGGAAGAAGAGAAACAAATAGAAATTGAAAATGGAATAAAATGAAAATGTCTTCTCTCCTCATTTCATTTCATTTGTACGATCAGAGAATCAAGAATGAGTTTTCTGATTACAAATGACTTGGAACATTTCTCTTGGGTTACAAAAAGCAGCAATTTTTTATATTTATTTTTTTACGTTTATTTTGTTTTCAGTTTGGAATCACATCAAAGAAAGGCAACATTTTTTTTTTTTTTTTTTTTCTAAAACGCACCATGGAAAGAGCATATCCCCTATGCTAAATTCCCCTTGGAGTCATTAGCCAAAAAAAAAAAGCTCCCTTTGGACTTTGGAGCTTGTTTTATTTCCACTCTCGCTTTAATATCTTGTTGTCTATCACATTCCTTATGGGAATGGGTTCATATGCTCATTTTTTCTATTCTCTTCCATGTCTCTACAATAATAATATGCTACGTTATAACTTTTTAATTGACGTGATAAATTTTTTTTAATTAACGTGTCATAATATTATTAGAGGAACATGAAAGGGAACATAAATAAGAGGACACAAGAATTGGTTCCCACATTGTATGACCACATACACTCTAAAGGGTCTTAATTAACTATTAGATGTTAGAATATATTCTCTTAAATTATAAGTTTTGTCACAAAATGCTCTATAAACTTTAGTTTTATTTCCTCCTCCTCCTCCTCTTCCAAATCTCAGTAACTCTTGCAAATTTTTTCCTTCCATCAAATTCTTACCCCTACTATGGTTGTTGACTGCCATTGATGAACTCTTAAAGTTACTTAATTCAAGCAAATTAAGGGAAAAGAACTATATTATATCTTGATAGTTTGTCATGAATTTCTAGCCTAACCTCATATATTCTTACTGTTTAATATCAATTGTAATCCTACTCGGATGGCCTTTATGCCAGTTTTTTTTTTTTTTTGGTTGGGGTGTTAGGTTTGATCATAGAAAAGAAAACTACTACGAGCTGATTAATATGTTCTCATGAGTACGTGTTAACATCATCTCCAATGTAAATACTAATTCAATTATATATTTATCATTAAAAAATGTGATATGGTATATTATTTTTATTTTTATTCTAATGCATAATGCTATTTGAAATGCTAAATCTACTTTTTCTCATAATAATTAAATTTTGAAAGTTATAAAAGTAAATTTTTATATTTAAAATAATTAGAAAATAAAAAAATAAACATTTCAACCAATAGCAATTAAATGCCAAATTTTTCATATGTTATATTTGGTGAGAAATTTACCACAAAGTATAAAATATGAAAAATTTAACATAATAAATAACATTATATTAAAAAATATATTTTACACTCAAATATTAAATTTATAATTAATATATTAATTATAACATTATATTAGAGATGCTCTAACTTCATAATTACATACCAGAAGTCTGCCATAAAAAAAATAATAAAAAAAAAAAGAGTGTCTCACTTTCAGCTTTTATGAATGTGGAGGCAACAATGCTTGGGCCACAAAGAAGGGCATTGCATGGGCTGAGACAAACAAAGCCCAAATTGAAGTCACCCAATCAGGCCTGTAGTGGAGCACATGTTAAACGCACTTGTTCTTTTGCACGTAAAGTACATAAATCAACGAAATTGAGATGATCAAGGGTCACTGGACATTGTTTTTTACTTAGGCCTTTTCGATTAGTAATTAGGAAAATTTTTTTTTAAGAACGTCTTTTTTACTAGAATAAATTCTTAAAATATATGGATATATAAATTTTCTAATAAACATTAAAAATAAATAAATAAGTTTACAATTTTTGTAAACTGAACTACAAGGCTCCGTTCTTTTTACTGATTCAAGTTTTACTACAGTAAAAAGCTCTTAAAAACAGTCACATCTAATTTTTTTACTACAATAAAAAGCTCTCACACAACATCACATCTCAACTCGAATTAGCGAACCGAACAAATAATTATTCTTAAAACATAATTTTTTAATTAGAGTGCCTTTTCTTTACTGGAAAAGTTCTCTTAAATATTCTCTTTCAGAATTTGCTAGCCTCTTAACTGTTTTTATAAAGCAGTGTGAAATAACCTACGATGACAAAACGAAAAGGAAAAAAAAGTGCGTTTGGAACTCGTTTCAAAATGATTTTATTTTTTGTATGAAAATGGAAATAAAAATGTTTTTAATATTAGATATAAATTATTTTTGAAAATACGTTTGGTAATTTTATTAAAAGATTATTTTCAATATAAAAAAACTCATTAATGTCTCTCTCTCTACCCGAGAGAATGGAAATAAAAATGTTTTTAATATTAGATATAAATTATTTTTGAAAATAGGTTTGGTAATTTTATTAAAAGATTATTTTCAATATAAAAAAACTCATTAATGTCTCTCTCTCTACCCGAGAGGGGAGAAAATGAAAAATGACTAAAAGTCATTTTTTATTTCTCTCTCGTTTTACACTAAACTAAAAAATCGTTTTTATTTCTATTTTTTATCTTTAATTATGTCAAACACCGTTTTAAAATTATTTTCATTTTTTCTTTCTTTAAAAATGTAAAAAAACAAAAACAAGAACAAGATTTTAGTTTTTAATCAAAATAAGCAAAAGATAGTGATATGTGGCTGCTAGACTAGTGATGTAATCTCCAACTCATCTTGATTATGGAAAAGGAAAACAACAGAATGTCAAATAAGCTGAAAATTTGACCACAATTATAATCACCAACTCATGAAATTATTAATACTGATAAAGACAGAGACAAGGCTAATCAGTTAATAGAGATTTTCAGTACTTATGAATCATCCAACATTTGGAGTCTTAATAATGAAATGGGGCAGCCCAAGTTGCCACTTAGCAAACAAACGTCAGTGCCGTATGTACCAGAAAGTAGGGCATGTGAAAGGGAAATTTGCAGCCAAATGGTCCATTTAGAAAGAGCAAACAGATCAGTTCATCATCAATTATATATATAAAAAAAAAAAAAAAAAAAAAAAAAACTTTTGTTCCTCATTACCAAAAGGCAAAAAAAAAAAAAAAAAAAGTATTTTTTTCAGGAAAAGCCCTTTTCCTAGTTCAAACCCCTCGCCGGAAACATTAAAAGGGGGGATTTTTTCGACTAATTTAATCAAACAATTAAGTATCAAAGAAAA